TTTTTTTTCACGATTTTTATGCATAAATCTCCATATCTGGAGTTCAGGGTAACCAAATCTCATTTTTTGCCATAACGGCGATTTAGGCGGTTTTGCAACTGCGGGCGATGGGCGGCTATATGTACAAATGAATATAAATAGTTTTAAGCGTCATAAAGTCCACATACCTGCCGGTGGGTATCCAGCCACAAGATCTGCTTGTTCGTCTGCCATATTTCACTTTAAAACTACTTGACGTCCCCCTTCTGATTGTTTGTTGGTCCAAGTCGGAATAATTTTATGTGAAAAATAATAATTAGCACTTTTGGGATAACATTTAATTTACACTTATTTACATTTTGTAAATTGATCACCTCTGTTTTGTACCTTACTTCACTCATGCTTTATTTATTGTATGTATATAGGTATTTTTACAACTTTGAAACCGCTTTATCGCTTTTGTTTCGGATCGCAGTGTACTAGGGGTATTCTCGAAGTCTTGCAAGTTGTACGGATTTTTTAAAAAATAAGTTACTCGTAACGGTTATACCATTCATTCAGTATATCACTAGGGTTATTGCCTCGGTTCTGCAGTCGGTTTTTTTTAATAATTTTACGGGAGTTTTCGAATACCGAGTAACGCGGAATTTTTGCAATCGAATCACTAGGTTCTACCAGACGTTGTGCGGTGCGTATATACATACATAATTTTGCAAGTTCCAGACGATGCACTTTGAGCATCCCGCATCCAGAGCCCAGTCACTTTTCGGGTTAAAGTTAACAGTGGCAGTTTGGGAGGTTTTGGCGAGTGGATTCGCAACCTTTTGGTCGGACCTCATCTGGGGTGCACTCCAAAACAAGGTCTTGTTTTTGGAATTAATAGTTGCGAAATGCCGTTTGTACTATGTTTTATTTCTTTTTTATATATTTAAATACTCAGTAGTTTGCTCCATAATTTTTAGCTCGTGTTGTCTTCCCACCAGCAACCCCGCCGTCTCCACTGAATCAATCGGTTGCAAATTTGTTTGGCATTTCCTTTTTGTGCGTGCATTTGTTTACCCGTATTAAAAGCAACCGTGTGCAATATCTACAAATTGCAACCGTGCATAGCGAAACCTTTCGCTCATTTCTCGTTTTGATTTGACACACTCTTTTCTATTAAAACTTCCAGAATATGTCGAAACACCTAGTCTGGACAAGAAAATCTTTGACAGATTGTTTTTTGTTTTGTGATCCTGTGTAGTTAACATCGTGCAAGCTTCTCGGCGATGTTTTGACGGCGTTCGTAGAAGCTATTGGTCAGAAACATTTTCCGTAGCCGGTTAAGTTTCGTAGGAATACCAAATTATGGTAGAGCAAAAAACAAGCATCGGCAAAGAGGTGATGCATATCGATTCTCTTTTCTAGGATTTGATGTTTACTAGAATAATTGTCACCCTTTACTCATCATTCAGAACACTTTACTGTGTGTTCCGTGATACATATAAATTGCTGGAGTATTGGTGGAGCACAGCTCACCTCACCTCAGTTTGCCTAAACTTACCTCACCTCACCACAGTTAACTTCAACCCACCTTAACTCACCTCAACTCACCTTAGGTTAGGTCAGGCTGTCGCGGTCGTCTATAAGACACACTTAGGCTTAGGGCCCATTGTGATACCGCCCAGTCCCTCCTAAAACCATTTCGAACTTTGCATGCATTTTAGAAGATCCCTGATTTCCATGCATCTAAGGTCCTCCAAGTTATCAAAGAATTGCTTATCAAGGGTGGAAAGCCTTCGTCTGGATATATGTAGCAGGGTACAGGTACAGAATCATTTCCTCCTCTTCTTCATCTGGACAGCTTTTACAGAAGTCATGTAAACGTAACAGTGTCCTGTTATGACAGATACTAATAATCCAATATTGTGCTTTTTTAGGCGCAGTGGTAGGCCAGTGCATCTAGCGCTGAGGAGCGGACGGACACAATTGCTTAGTAGCTTACAAGTTTGTAAGAGTATTTCTATTTCGTCATTTATATCCTCAAAAGGAAGTTTTGGCCCAGTCGCGCCGGTCCATCGGTCTTACAATTCCCCTATATGTCGCCGTGTCCTGGAACTCACCTTTTGGAGGTTGTCGATTGCTTCGTGAGGGATTTTATTGCGGAAGAAAATTCTATAGAGCATACATTGCCATAACGCTCCAGCTATGAGTTTGGGCGCAAGCTGTTGGTCTTTACCCATCTTTTTTTTTAAGTTTACCCCTTTCCCAAGGACGTGCCACCATACTACTATACCTTGATAGAGAATTGGCATAACTGTTTGTATCCAGTGTAATATTTTGGGTTCCATCACCCATATTTTCCCTATTGCCCTGCTGCAAGAATATAGAGCTACTGTTGCTTTGAGACCTAAATATTTGGTATCCTCTTTTACTGCGAGAGCTTTTCCCTCTACAATTATATTACCGAGAACAGATTCTTGTGCTTCCTAGTGAAGACCTCAAGGTCCGTTTTTTCAGCATTCAATCCCAGTTGTCGCCTATTACACCAGAGGGATAGTTTGGAGAGAGAGGTCAATGTTGAGAGATGTTTATCTAAGATAGCTATTACAATATCGTCGGCGTGTGCAATTATCTGACCGCCTATATCTTCAAATTCTCGAAGAAGGCTGTCTGCTGTCATGTTCCACAGGAGCGGTGATATTACTCCAACCTGGGGTGCATCCCTGACCGGGAACCTTTTTATTACTGATTCACCTAATCTTGCTCTTATTTTTCGTCCGATTAGCATTCGTTCGATAAATGAGCTTAGTGAATTGCTTACTCCCATATTTCGCATGACATTGTTGAAAACACCCTCGATGTCCACGAAGGCAGCGAGGGTTTATTCTTTTTAAAATATAGTGATCTTTCAATTGTGTGCACTAAATAATGTTGTGGTGTTTCAACTGGTCGGCATGCTAGGCTGGCGAAAGATTTCTGCCCGCCTTGTCTCTAATATGCCCATCTATTAGTCGCTCTTGAGATGGCAGACTAATCGGTCTGAAGTCTTTTGGTCGCGTGTATGTAGTGTTTTCTTCCTTGCGAAAAAAAAACACTCTTATCTTCTCCCATTTGTGCGGTTTATAATTAAGGCGAAACACTGCCTCATTCCAAAGAGTTGGATACTTTAGCTTCGTTAAATTTTTATCGGCACTCCCTTCGGAGGTTTGCAATTTCATTGGACCACCATGGAAGTTTTGGTGTTCTACTTTTCGCCCTAGTCGGGCCGGCTACCCTTGCTGCATGTTGAAATGCTACAGTTAGATCATTTACTTACAACGTTATCAAGTAAATGTTTCGAGTTTATTTGGTTTGTGAGAACAGAAATGCTGTTAGGAAAGGCTGTTTCAAACTTTTTCCAATTCATTTTTCTGCTATTTACGTTTAGGTTATAAACCACGTAGATATGATCTGAAAAGGAGTTGTCTTTAGAGGCTCTCCAGTCATTGAAAAAATCTGTCCCCTTCCATATTTTTCCCCTACCAATACTTAAGTGAGGCATCGTAAATTCATTCTTATGCTTCGTCTTCTTATTTCAGTGTTTCTTTTTCTCATTTCATAAAAATGTATATTTGCTCCATTAAACTTGTCCAAAGGAAATGGACTAAGGGAGACTTAAATTATTCTTTTCACTTTACTCAACCAACCTTATCGGCATCTCTTCTCCTCTTCATCCAACAGTTTACGACGGCATCTATGGCATCGTTGATTATACCAACTACTTGATTCTCGGCATCACTGTCGCTTTGGCCTGGGAGTTACCGAGTAAACCGCAAAGTGAAGTCATCGAAGAAATCGCCAATCGGCTAAAAGATGGTAGACTTGAGGTCAGACGTAACGACACATCAACACGATTCACATATGTCGACACCAAAAAGAATCAAACGCAAACAACAACAAAGCAGCAGCAGACATATCAATCTGTGAACACCTTACGGCCCACTTACATCGATCTTATGACATTGACAAGTCCTGCTGCCGTTGCCGCAGCCGCCAAGAAGAGTGACCAAAAGTACTACTACGCGAATACAGGCCAACTGCCGGCTACCTTCCATGTGCCAATGCATCAGAAATATTATTATTATAAGGGAAGCAATAAATATGATAACAGTAAAAGCCATTACGGAAAGTATCACATGTTGCGACGTCCTATAGACAGTTACTATCACCGTACACAAGTGACGCCGCGACCAATTGGTGGATACTACAAGCAAAGGCCGAACGATTGGCGACGTAAGGACACCAATTACTACTATGGGGCCAGCAATAAATACAGACAGACAAACAACAGCAAAAGCAACAATAACAAGAACTACAACTTAAGCACGCTGAAAGTGAATCCTTTCAGCAAGTCAGGCGCGACACACCAACGACGACTTCCATCTGCTTTGCAGAGTTACACACCGCAAGCGAAAGTTGGCCGCGACGGTGTTGGCAGTCAGTATCCTTGGTGGAATCTGGCTACGAGGTGAGTAAAAATTGTTGAAGTTGAGTGGTGTTTGCAGTAACGTGATATGAAGTATGTGGAAATGCACGCTCAACTGTCACTTCATGCGGCATGCATGCCCACATGTTTTTTTTTTTTGTAAAGGTGGCAGAAAGCATTGAAAGCCGAAAAGTGTGGGACTTGCCTTTGGGCTCAATGCACAAAAAACCCACCCCTACTCCGTTTCCCTCCCACCGTCGAACAACCGTAAGGTATTAGTTCGCTAGGAGGAGCGGCCAAATTACAAACAACGGACCACTTTTCTTCCGACTCAAGCATAGCATCCACAAGATTGTTAACCGCAAGTGGCCACCCCACCTTCATGCTCTAGTCATCTCTTCGATTACAAAACTGCGGACAGAAAATCACACCGTGTTAAATGTCTTCAGTACTACCTTTGTGATCGTCATTATTCCCAAATGCGTTCAAATTAATACGATTTGAAGCAACCATACCTCGTAAATTTCATGTCGGGTGGAAATAAACTTCCCAGTGTTGACTACTTACCCACCTTGATGTCTAAGGTATCCGGAGGTACGCGACTATCGTAGCTCTTACGTTGATCTGCTCCATTTTTCCCAAATTTCGTTGTACGAATGGTTATGTTAGACTTACGGCACACCGCTTTGGCGGTTAGAACGGTCTAGGTTATAATCGGAGTCTATGCTTCGGTTGCACGAATTTCAAAGCCCCACTGTCTNTCGTTGTACGAATGGTTATGTTAGACTTACGGCACACCGCTTTGGCGGTTGGAACGGTCTAGGTTATAATCGGAGTCTATGCTTCGGTTGCACGAATTTCAAAGCGGCGGTTGGAACGGTCAAGATTCCAATCCGCTCCTACGCTTGGCTTCCCGAGGTTCAAAATCGCACTGCTTTGGCGATTGGAACGGCCGAGGTTCTAATCGCGTCTACGCTTCGGTTTCACGACTTTCAAAGCCTCACTGTCGCGGCGGTTGAAACGGCCGAGGCTCCAATCCGCCCCTACTTATCACGTGCACGAGGTTCAAAGACGCCCTGGCTTGGCGGTTGGGACGGCGGAGGTTCCAATCCGCTCTCACTCCGAGAAGCAGCAGCCTTTCTATGAATATCTGTGGGACTGTTACGCTTGGCGCAATTTCCTGAAAATGAGTGTGCCATATAGCAAACGTCGGACCAATTTCCGATTTACTCTAGCATGATATCCACAAGGTTGTCAACCAGAAGTGGCCTCCCCACCTTCCTGCTGAAGTAATCCCTTTCGGTTGCACATCTCAGGCAAACGAAAAAAAACAATGTTCTGCGTCCTCGATTACCTATCCAGTACAGAACGTGCAATAGGGATCATCGTATGCAAGTCTGTGTAGGCTTTAAAACAACCGAGTAACGTTAGTATTTGAGTTAGGTGGAATTCCACTTCTACATGTCGCCTGTCAAGCCATTTTCTTACACTCGGAATGAGTTTATATGTCCAACGTCAACTAGTCGAACGGGTCTAACGATGCTGCCACTGCTGCAAGCAGTTTTGCTTCGCACGCCCACATGTTACCGCTTACATGTTGCATGTTGCTGGGCATGTTGCATGCGTGCTATAGCGGATAATTTAAATATGCGCTACTTATGCGAAGTGTATCATTTTTTTAGTACTTCATACTTTTTACTACAAACTACTATTTTTTCATGCGCTCCCTTTGCTTTGCTTTCTGCTTTCCTTTTACAGACTATCGAATTCATTGCGTAGAAAACCAATTCCCTCAAGACGTATTGACGGTAGCAGTAGTCAGGCAGCACAACGCAAACAACACCAACAGCCCGCTAGACAACTAAAGCAGCAACAGCAACAATCCGCATCCGGATTTTATCGACAGCCACCTGCCACAGCGCGGAAGCATCGAATTTATCCGGTTTTCGGTAAGCGTAGCATAGCAGATGAGCCTCCAACGGCAGTGGCAACAGCTGCAGAAATTCACAGCAACAACAATAACAACACACAGCAGCAGCAAGCAATGCCGCATCATCGACAACGCCGCAGCGGCATCGTCGGCCCGGAATTGACTCGCATCGAACGCATTCATATACGCCATCATCGCAGCACAAGGCAAACGCTCTACGAGAAGATTGAAAAGTATCTGGACAAGTAAGTGACACACTCATTCACTGGCTGTGCACAGTGATGCATGTAAGACGTTTACATGTTTACTTTTTATTCGTTTCCATTCCCACATCCGCTCGCTCTTATCGCCACTCAATGGTGTGACATGTCGTAAACGTGCTGTTTAAAATAACGATACATTTGCAAATATAGAATTTCATATGGGAAGACTTGAAAGTGTGTGTGTGTTCGTGTTTGTGGAATCTGCCGTACGTACATGTATTAGATGGAGAAAAATTGCAATAACTTCGTGTAGCAAGGTAAAGACAGCAACGAGATTGCTTTCAAGTCGATACTTGGCGTTGAGGTGATTTGTTTGATCTGTATGCATCGCAGTTGCATAGCTTTTTAAGTCATGACTTTCACGCTATTAGAATAAACAGAAGAAATTTGTGTCCTACTTATGAGTTCGTAACGGTTAAAACTACATCAAAGCGGACGTATTTATTTAAGTTTAAAGAAGTTCGTGTAACTACTGCAGTTTAGTTAGACGAACAAAAATAGTCCATGGTCCTGAAATGCGATAGAGTATGGTCGTTCTTATGGGTACATTTGCAGTTACGGTTGCACGACCATACTCAATACCGACTCTCGTTACTGACCAGATGGGTAAGTAACCTATCTATGGAGCCTTCACTCGCGGCTGAAAGAGAGGGAGTTTTTGTGGGGCTGCCGCCTTATTCGGGTTAGAGGCTTACAAAATTCAGCAGCGTATGTTCATGATGAGCCGCAGCTGCCAGCGTTCGTCTGTCTTGGAGCATGCGCCTCGCTATACAAACGTGTGCACCAAAATTGCGGCAGGTTGTGGATTTGCGCTGAGTTTGAGACCTGTTTCCTAAAACATAGTACCAATGACGCAGACCACGACAAACTTTTAAAGTGCCATGATTTGAGGGCATGCACCTGGAATATGCAGACCCTTTAGGCTGAACCTGCCTCCGCCCAGCTGGCTGATCCCCTCGCAAAGGCTAAGGCTGATGCCGCCGCCAACCAAGAAAGCGCTTTACGGTGCAAAGCAAGAAGTACCTGCGTCCTTGCGAATTTGTGGGACGATTTCCTGTAAGGACAACGATGGCGACGGACATGACATGACTAGCAATTTTGAGGCTGTAAAACACCAAAGCTACCGGGTCTGTTGGCTTGCTAGCTAAGTATGTCGGCGATGGGTTGATAAGGTGCATACATCAACTCCAATCCACAAGAAAGTTGGCCCTGCGATATGCGCCAACTACCGCGGGAATTAGCTTTCTTAGCATCAGATAAATGGTATCGAGGGTATTCCGCGAAAGGCTTCAGCGAACTGATTTTGCCTTGAGCAGCACCTCTAACTTCGTCAGAATTGAGAAGGTAGCAATTTGGTACTAAAAAGGGACTTCAGGCAGGGTGACTCTCTGTGGATATGCGGGACGTTTTGCCCTCTAGTTGCAAGCTCACCATCCTACCAAAGTTTTATCTACATGCAAGTCTCTAGGCTCTAACGGACCTTTGTTGAAAACCACTGCTAAGTCCAGGAAAGAAACTAATGCAAATTCCTTTATTTATGGTGATCGCACAATCTTCGAGAAAAAAGAGTGGTGGGCAGCCTACGGGGATCTTCTTTTGCTGAAGGCATTCTCTGCATTATATAGACTGGGTCATTCGATTATTTTATTTATGTCTCTAGAATTATTTCCAGAGTCTTAAGTAGATAGCAGGAAAGGCTTATAGGCCTTAACACACCAGGCTTAGCAATGAGCACTGCATTGACTTCTCTTCAGATCTCGGGAATGTTTCCAACTTCTAAACAGTTGGGGGAGATGGTCCTGGCGACTTATAGGGCTTGGAATTAGATATAGCCCAATAGATTTTCCTGCTACTTATCATTTCGCTGGAAGGCTGTGCTGGAATATTTAAAGCGTCAGCAGTGCATTCTGGCTAGTGGTTAAGTAAAAAAACATTAAAGATTACGGAACTTGACTCAGTAATAACCCATCATCTTTTTTTGATACAACCGGGGGCTGTGGATAAATTTGCGAACACCTTTCGGAGCTTTGAGGCTTCGAATATTGTAACAATTCTGCACCATAAATCAATCCAAGAAGTTCGCTTCGCTTGCCTATTGGCTTTCTTATCGGTGCTCAGTGTAGATTTTTAGAGTGAGCCAAACATAATTCTGCTTGGCTGCATTGAAACTTCCCTTTATTATTTGCGGAGTTTATTTAGATCATGTCGTGCAATATGCCTCGATTAGTTATATCTGGAAATGACCCCGATGGTCGTGGGACAAATAAATTGGAGCCGGCTTATACCATTTGCATCCTATTTCCAGGCAGACTGCAGTGATGTCTCCAGTGCTAAAATGCGGTAAGATAATAGAATTTATAACTGTTATCCAGATTTTTTAATTTCTCTTACCCTTACCAGTAAATATCTCATTATTCGGGGTATGCAAACCACCGATTATACCTCTGTCGCTTCAGCTTCATCGTCGCTGAGGCCTTCTTAAAGCCTCACCTATTTCTAATCTGGATGAAGCGTAACCGCTCAGCTCATCGATTGCTCTACATTCGTCTACCGTCATCTCGTGGGCCCCTGGTGTTTCGTCCGCTGCAATGTCGCTCGGTCTGTCCATTTATGTGTAGGGATGCTAGCATTGAATTTCTGCAATACTTCTAACATCTCTTCCGGTTCGGACGGTGTTATACCTACCTAGGCTCTTTCTCTGGACGCGTTGGAATGTCTCGCGTCTCTACAACTTTTAGGCGGTCCGCGGAAACAGCCCCACTAATCTGCTGTCTTCATATGCAATTAGTTTAATTTTTCCCTGGAACCCGCCAGCTCCGTGCTCGAGAGGGCGGTGCAGGGCTCTCTTTCTTAATGTGCAGCACAACTTTTTCTAAGACGGCATGGATCCGCATTCATTGGTTCCTGGGTATAAAATTGGTCTCAGTCACTATGTTCTATGAGCGTTGGCGACCTTTGTAAAGAGCAGCTAGTCGATGCAAATCCTGCGTGCAGTTCTATTATATCTGATGTCCATTTAGCACAATAGTAAGGGCATTTCGGGAATTTCTTTCTGTCAGCCACCATTAAACAAGGAAGTCAGGTACAGTGAAATACTCACGACCAATTAGAAAAATATCTGGTCTATACACCTAATTCATTCTTAAGTCGTTTATAGAAATTGAATCTTCAAAGTGCTCATTGAATAGAATATCGTTCTGCTACTTCGTTATAGAAGCCATGACAAGATGCATTTGCTGGAATCCTGCTAATCTGAGTTTATCGCAATTATTAAATACGCCATCCATAATTTTACTAAATTTTGTATTGCGTTCATTCGAAATTCTTTGACTTTCAGTATGCAACCACTGCTGAAAGATTTATTAACGTAAAATTTTGAAATGCCTAAAGCTCTGAGCTGACAAAGCAAAACCTCGAAGCAACATCTTCTGCTTGCGCAGCAACCAAGGTGTAGGCAGTCATTGACGACAATCCTATTTGGTTGCAGTTACGCAAAACTTCCTGCTTTATGGCGATCTATTTTGCAACGACAACCGGCAACCAACAACCGGATGCTGCAATGCAATTGAGTTGCCAACATTGAGACTGCACTGCTTTGTAAACAGGGTAAGGCAGAATAAATTAGAAAAAAAGAGACGGCATTTTTCTGAGAAAACATTTACGAACAAAGTATGTCATGATTTTCTGGAAATACATATATTTATTTTTAGAAACATATGTATGTACTTGTACATACATATAAAGTTTTTCATGGGTAAATTTTAAGGAGTAATAATGACTATAAAAAAATAAAATATATTTATAGAGCTTTAACACAATTTTTTTTAATTTATATATAATGCAGTTGTTAATGTTAGGTTAGATTGGTGTGGCAGTCAGTTCAAATAACCAACTCAGTTAGATCTTGCAGGTCTATTTCGATACCACTGTGAATCACGGGAACCTCAGTGACTATTTTTAATAGAACCATTTGGAAGCTCTTATGAAGAATAGAGTTCGTATTATTCCTAAAGAAGCGCCTTAGCTAAAGCTTGGAAACTTCTTTATCTCTGCAACTTCTGTAATATTAGTGGGAGAATATTACTAGTCTCTAGGAGTGTCTAACAAATAGCCAATGACCGGTTATACATCGCAATATCCTCTTTTGAGGGGCAGCGCAGTTCTTTCGTCCTTTTTTTGTATCTATTTGTGGCCATAGTAGTACCAGTGGCTTCCTCTAGTACAGTGGAAGATTAGTACCTTCCCTTGCTAGCTCATAGGCCCTGCAAGTGCTTTCAATATTACTTTATCCTGGAATCCATATGAGGCTGATCTTGAAGACAGCGCTAATATCACTTAGAGCTGAGAGCCATTCCTGTGCACCCTTGATTCCAGACCTAATTCCTTGGAGAAAAGTCCGTGGCCACTCCTATTGTCTAGCTTGGATCCATCCATAGCAACATATCTTTTATTCTGAGCGCTTTTGTTGGCGTGGTCCTTAAGGTACCTGAAATGCATAAAAACGCTGATCTTTGGACCTTACTCAGTAGTTTAAGTTAAGGTTAAGAGATGGCAAAAAAAAAATAAGATAATCGATTAATTAATCATATGATTAATCAAAAGCCCAAAAAATTAATTGCAATTATTGAGAAACAATCGCTTAATCGAATTTTTAAAGGTATTTTTTTATAGTGAGTATTGAAAAAACACCCTTCCATAAAAATTTTCCCTTGTTAATTAGGCTTAAATAAAATAAGACGAGTATTTTTAGCATCAATAATTATTTATTATTTAACCAAGATTGCAGAAACAAAAATTTTGATAAGCGCTTTGTTGTTAAGCGGTTGCATTTTTCGGTGGCTGTAGCACAGTGATGCCAATAGCAAGGAAAAGAGGCTACATGTTGGGAAATTCAGCCTTAAATTTGCGATGTAGGGAAAAAAGGACAGTACAATATTTACTTAAATGTAGGGAATTTAAAAATTCTGTATTTGACTCTTTTTTCATTTCTGTTCTCATATAATTTCATTTAATTGAATCGGTGAGTTCGACAACCGTACAAGTACGGCTTTTCTCCCAATTTCACGGGTACAATCAGCTGTGCTATGTTAACGGCTAAGCACCTAGTACGGTGAAATGAGAGAAAAACCGTGCATGTCCATGACTTGTACTGTTTTCGATCTCAACAATGAATAACTGATTTTGGACTTGTACGGTTGTTCAGTTACTAATG